CGCAATTCGAGTCCCGGACCCGGTGGCTTAAACTCACGCCGGGTGCGTGTGCGTGCGTGCCCAAGATCCCAAGAGGAGAATGGAGGAGAAGGGATTGCAGTGTGGCCATCCCCCCTGGGGGGTGATTTCTCGCTTTCTGTCTCTCTCTCTCTGGTGAGCGCACGTGCCCTATAGCAAAAACCTCTCCCAAAAAAAAGAAAAAAAAAAGAAATAATGAATATGAATAAAATAAAAGTAATAAATAATTCTAAAAATATAAATTTAAATAGAGCTTACAGTACTGCTAGGCAATACAATATAAATTGATGCTTAGTATTTTCTCATATGTTGACATCCATCTCATGGTTTTCTTAATCCTTTACTTTTAACCTCTACTAATTTATGTGTTTTTTCCATTCTAGTACTTTTATCCATCTGTTCTCTGTTGTGTGATCCCAATCCAGATGATCCCTTAGTGCCTGAGATTGCTCGGATCTACAAAACAGATAGAGAAAAGTAAGTATGGTTTCTAGACGTAAAGGTATCTAGTGAAATGAAGATGTCTGTTTCAGATTTTTCTTATCTAAGAGGTGAATGTGGTTTAGATATTTAAAATGAAGGCCTAATATACTCTGAAAAAAGGAGTACTAGAAGTGGATGATATAATTTATATGAATTTTATCTAGAAAAACATTTTTTTAGAGGTTTTTGCTTTAGGGCACAGATACTCTCCAGGGAGAGAGAAACAGTGAGAGGGAAAGTGAGAAACACCCCCCAGGGGGGAATGACCATACCGAAATCCCTTTTTCTTAATTCTTCTGGGGTTATTGGGCATGCACATACATGCTTCTAGTGTGATTTTTAAGCCACTTGAAACATAGTCAGCCATGTGGAGTCCAGCGACAACCTTTACACCATCTGCTGGTCTCTAGAAAATCTTTCTTACAGTATATTTTCCAACAGATTTCTAACTTATGCTTCGCTTTTTTTTTCTTTTTTGAGAGGTTTTTGCTATAGGGCGCATACACTCTCCAGAAAAAGAAAGAGAGACAGAAAGCGAGAAATCACCCCCCCAGGGGGGATGGCCACGCCACAATCCCTTCTCCATTCTCCTCTCAGGATCTTGGGCACACACGCACATGTGCCCAGTGTGAGCTTCAGCCACCAGGTCTAGGACTTGAACCACAGTCGACTACATGGGAGTCCAGCAACATAGCCATTATGTTAACTGCTGGTCCCTATGCCTGGCTTTTGACATATAAAGTATTTTGCATAAAGGTACCATTTGTCTTTTTTTAAAAAATACATATATGTTATTGGGGTTTTTTGTTTTGTTTTTAGTTTTATTTACTTCTTTATTTATTTACTTACTTCATTTTAATTTGACCAGAGAGGGAGGGAGGGAGAGAGAGAAAGAAAGAGAGAGAGAGAGAAAGTGAGAAAGCAAGCTTCCAGGTCTAGGACTCGAACCACTGTCAGCCATGTGGGAGTCCAGCACCCTTAACGAGAACACTACCTGCCTCCCCCTCCCCTTCCATTTGACTTATATAGGTATTTATAAATTAGTGGGAAAAGAGAATTGATTTTCTGCCATTTGGCATAATCTAAAAGAAGAGAGTGAATAAGTGCCATCATACAGGAAATCCCCAAGTTTCTTTTTCCTTTTTTTTTTTTAAGAATTATTTTATTTAACTTTATTTATTTATTTTAATTTGACCAGAGAGGGACAGAGTGAGAGAGAGAGAAGAAAAGTGAGAAAGCAAGCCACCAGGTCCGGGACTCGAACCATGGTTGGCCATGTGGGAGTCCAGCACCCTTAACCACCATGCCATCTGCTGGCCTCCCCAAGTTTCCTTTAAAAGCAAAACTTTATGTATACTTCAGATACTTTAGCATTGTATTATGAATTATTTTAAGAAGTTTTTGCCTTAGGGCATATGCATTCTCTGGAGAGAGAGACAGACAGACAGACAGACACAGTGAGAGGGAAAGTGAGAAATCAGCCCCCTTGAGGGACAGCTGCACCAAATCCCTTCTACATTCTCCTCTTGGGGTCTTGGGCATACATACACATGTACCTGGTGTGATTTTCAAGCCATTGAGTCCGGAGCTCGAACCACAGTCAGCCATGTAGGTGTCCAGTGACATAACCGTTACACCATCTGGTAGCCCTTGTTCTTTGAATTATTAAAGAGTAGTCTGGACTAGAACAGCACAGTCAGCCATGTGAGATCCAGCTGCCATAATCACATCACTGTCTGGTCATCAAATAATTATGTGGGAATCCAGCGCCTTCACCACCATGCCACCCACTGGCCTCCAGTGGCATGGTAGTTAAGGTGCAGGACACTCCCATATAGCCAACCACAGTTCGAGTCCCAGACCTGGCAGCTTCCTTTCTCCCTTTTGCACACGTGCGCTCTCTCTCTCTGTTGTCTCTCTCTGATCAAATTAAAATAAATGCATGAATAAATAAAATTAAATAAACAATAATTTTTTTTTTAATTTGTAAGACCAGCAGGAGGCATGATGGTTGAGGTGCTAGAATTCCAGACCTGTCACCTTGCTTTCTCATTTCCTTTCTCTCTTTCTCTCTCTCTCTTGCACATTTGTCCTATAACAAATTTTTAAATAATAACTAAATAAATAAAACTTGATTTTTTTTTTTTTTTTTTTTTTTTTGCTAGAAGACGAGTAGACTCACCAGAGAAGGGGGAGTGAGAAAGCACCCCCATAGAGAGTGGTCATACCATAATTCCTTCTCCATTTCTTCCTCCTTTCCAAATTTTGGGCACGTATATACATTCCCTGTGTGTCTTTCAAGACTTTCGGTCCAGCACTCAAACCACTCAATCAAATATGTGGGATCCAGCTGCCTTTACTACCATGCTAGCTGGCCTAGAAGTAGTACAGCAGTTGAGTCTTAGTTTAGTTTTATCCGTGTTTAAGTCTTACCAGTGTCTATGGCTATATATTTATTAACATTGAGAATAAAGTCTTTATGTATTTATTTATTTCATTTTGACCAGAGATGGGGGCAGGGAGAGAGAGAAAACCTCTAGGTCCGGGACTCAAACCACAGTCGGCCATGCAGGAGTCCAGCACCCTCAAACACCACACCACTTGCCAGTCTCACAAATAATTTTTTTTAATTGAAGAATTATTTTGTTCAGTATCTAGAATTATAGTCATGAATGTTAACTATGTTTACCAGTGACATTTTCTTTCTTTATTTTTTGAATTATTTAACTTTATTTATTTTATTTATTCTAATTTGATCAGAGAGAGAGAGAGACACAGAGAAAGAGAGAGGGGGAAAGTGAGAAAGCAAGCTACCAGGCCCAGGACTTGAACCATGGTCAGCCATGTGGGAGTGTCCAGCACCTTAACCACCATGCCACCTGCTGGTCCCCTACCAGTAGACATTTTCTAACTTACTGTGATAATGTTTAGCAGAACTTCTCTGCATCTCCTATTTATTTATTTATTTATTTATTTATTTTGAGCGATTTTTGCTATAGGGTGCATGCACTTGCCAGGGAGACAGAAAGTGAGAAATGACCTTCCAGGGTGGGGGATGACCTCACTGCAACTCCTTCTCCAGTCCTGAACTTTCGGGCACACATGCACACATGTCCGATGTGAGTTTTAAGTTGCCGGATCCAGGACTTAAACAGCGGTGGACTACGTGGGAGTCCAGCAACATAACCATTATGACATTTGCTGGTCCCCCCTATTTATTTATTTATTTATTTATCCATTTATATTTATTTATTATGCCAGAGGGTACGTGTGTAAGAGAGAAAGACAAAGCGCCCCACAGCAGGGCCTGATTGTATACTACAGTATTTTTTCTCCACTTTTTGTCAAGATTCTAGGCAAGTGTGTTGTGTATGCTTAGCGTCCTTTTCAGGCCATCAGGGCCAGGACTCAAAATCTCTTGAGCCTTGTAGGATCTCAGTTTCCTCCGCATAGTTCTTCTCTTTTTTTTTTTTTTTTTTTTTTTTTTTAATTAGATTTTTTTGCTATAGGACGCATGCGCTCACCAGACAGACAGAGAGAGCAGAGAGACAGAAACCCTCCCAGGGGGGATGGCCATGCCGCAGTCCCTTCTCCTCCATTCTCTTGGGATCTTGGGCACGCACGCACACGCGTCCGGCGTGAGTTTTAAGCCACCGGGTCCAGGACATGAACCGCCGTCGACTACATGGGAGTCCAGCGACATAGCCATTACGCTAACTGCTGGTCCCATCCTCTGCATAGTTCTTAATTACTGAGCCCTGGGGCTGACCCTCCATCTAGAAGAATTACAGAATATTTTACTCTTGCTTATTTTACTACTGGAATATTTTCTGGAGCAATAAACCTGTTTATTTTGCCAGCCAAGTTGTTGCAATAAGTTCTGTCAGAACCAGTTTTTTTATTGATATATAGGAAAATATTAAGCTTATGATTTCAACAACCATCTGATGTAGAATTATATAATCTTAAGAACCTCAAATAAATGCATCAAGATTTGAAAGTCTAGGACCAGCAGATGACATAATGGTTTTATCTCTGGACTCCTACATGACTGACTGTGGTTCGATTCCTGGACTTGGAGGCCTGAAACTCATGCTGGGCGCATGTGTGTTCATGCATGTGTGCATGTATTTGTGTATGCCCAAAATCCTGAGAAGAGAACACAGGAGAAGGGATTGCCTTGTGGCCATCCCCGCTGGAGTATGATTTCTTACTTTCTGTGTCTCTGTCTCTCCTGCAAGCACATATGCCCTATAGCAAAAATCTCTCTTAAAAAAAAAAAATTGACAGTCTTGTAGAAATCAGTCGAGCAAGTGCATAGACTATCAGATGCTAAAATTTAATCAAAATCCTCTAAGTAGCATTTACAGGAAATTGCTTCTCATTTTATAATTCTTTCTCACCATCATTGAATTAAATGCCAACCTGTGGTGTAGTGGTTAAGGTTGCTGGATTCCATGTGGCCAGTGGCATGGTTTGAGTCCTGGACCCAGTGGCCTGAGAAACACACTGGGTATGGGTATATGTATGCCCAAAATACCTACAAGGAAGGAGAGATGGAGGGAAAAGGGGAGGGGATTGTGGCATGACCATTCCCCATCGACATGCTTTTTGGCTTTCTCTCTGTCTCTGAGCACACATACCCACCTGGCAAAGTGTTTTTAAAAAAGAAAATAAATGGGAGTCGGCAAGTGCCATGGTGGTTCAAGTGCTGGACTCCCACATGGCCAACCATGTTTCGTGTCCTGGACCTGGCGGGTTGCTTTCTCATTCTCCTTCTCTCTCTCTCTCTCTCTCTCTCTCTCTCTCATTCTCTGGTCAAATTGAATAATAATAATAAATAAATAAGTAAAATTGAATAATTCTTGGGACCTGCAGTTGACGTAATCACTCTGTCACTGGACTCCCATGCAGTCAACTGCAGTTCGAGTCCCGCACCTGGTAGCTTAAACTCACACCAGGCGCATGTGCATGCATGCCCAAGATCCTGAGAGGAGAATAGAGGAGAAGGGATTGCTGCGTGACCATCTCCCCGGGGGGTGGTTTCTCTCTGTCTGTCTGTCTCTTGTCTGTCAAGCTCACATGCCCTATAGCAAGAACCTCTCCAAAGAAAAATTGAATAATTCCTTTTTAAAAAAGGAAACAAATAAATTTGGAACAGAAATGTAGCTTTGCTTGAATGTCCTATGAGTTTTTTTTCCCTCAAGTTACTAGATGAGACAATGTATAAATATGTTTACGTATTGACTTATCACCTGTGTTAAGCCAAGCTTCTCTTTGTGTGTACAGGTACAACAGAATAGCTCGGGAATGGACTCAGAAGTATGCGATGTAATTAAAGAAATTATTGGATAACCTCTACAAATAAAGATAGGGGAACTCTGAAAGAGAAAGTCCTTTTGATTTCCATTTGACTGCTTTCTATGAGCCCACGCCTCATCTTCCCCTGTGCACATGTTTACCTGATACAGCAGTGCTGCGTGTTGTACATACTTGGAACAACAAACTAGAATACTGTACTTCTGTACCAACATTGCCTCCTAGCAGAGAAGTGTGTGTGTGACAAGCCAGTTCTCCAGGCATAAATCTAGGTGTGAGACTAAAAGCTTTCCTTATTGATTTAAAGTTCAATAACGGGCAAGGTGTGAGGGGTGGGTGGGTATGGCGTGTGCTTGGATGGGGAAGAAAAGCTCCACTGACCTGTAGGAGATTGTTTTTAAGTGGAATCCATTTAAATTCTAACAGTTACGAAAAGCAAAGTGAAGAACCTGAAGCTGTTTCTGTATTCATTTTATTCCAAAGGACCTATATCTTAGGTGAAAGTTCTGATCAACCAGATTAAACTCTACCCACATCTTGTATTTTAAAGTCTAAGTTTAACTGGTCAACATTTAAATGGATTGGAGCTATTAGTACATAATGTGTGATGGGCTTTGTTCCCAACTCTTTTACATTTCCCCACCCCATCAACCTTTGTCCTTTCAAGCCCCCTTTCTCTCTTCCATATTCCTTGGTTTGTATGTGGTTTCTCAGTTAATACATAGCTAATAGCTCTTATTTTTCTTATGTTTTTAACTGCTTAGGTCTATTTGGATGTAAGGGTGAAAATTCATTTGATGGAAATACTTGTGTATATTTAAAGACCCAATTGCTCCTCTGGAGCTGGTACGTTCAAGAATGATTAATCTGTGTAATAAACTGATTACTACAGTCATTACATATAATTTTGTGTGAATAGGCTTTTTGATTTTAAGAACTTCGTCTAGCTGAGATTAGTGGTGGATTTTCCCCCACCCCTGAAATTTTTTCATTTATATTGGTTACATTTCAAAATCATGAAACAATTCCAGTTTACATAGTAAAAAAGTTATCTCGAGAGTCATTTTATTGAAGAAGGTAGGAAGCATAAGCTTAAAACCATTTTCAGAAAATTTGTATGTGCAGGCTTTTAGGAACATGACTGTTAACTAAATAAGAATTTCCTTTATTAATGAAACTCAGCTGCATTTCACCAAAACCTTGCGACATTCCCTTGGTAAACAGGACATAAAACACAGAGGCGGGGACCAGCAGATGGTTTAATGGTTATGTCGCTGGACTCCCATGTAGTTGACCACGTTTCGAGCAGGACCCAGTGGCTTAAACTCACTCCAGGCGCGTGCGCGTGTGTGCCCAAGATCCTGAGAGGAGAATGGAGGAGAAGGGATTGCGGTGTGGCCATGCCCCCTAGGGGCGTGATTTCTTGCTTTCCATCTCTCTGGTAAGTGCACACTGCCCTATAGCAAAAACCTCTCCAAAAACAAAACATACACACACAGAGGCATTGCTACTTGGTAAGCCTCTGTGATTGGAATTATAAAAGAGCAAGGTTGACCAAACCTGGGAAACATGAGCACAGTCTTGTATGGGAGAGTCCACATAATTACCTTGCACTAACATTTGCAGGATGTTCATCCAATTTTAAATTGTACTGTATGTGTCTTTTTGAAGTCTTCCCTTGACTCTAGTAAAATGTAGTTTGAAACTTGTAAACAACTGTGTTTGCCAGAAACATCATTCCTGTAAACCAGGCAAGTTGCCTTTTTTTCTCCTCTTTTCATACTCTAATTGTAAACTAGGCCATGGCTGCTCCTCTCCAGTCATCAGGTTCTTTCAAATGCATCTTTACAGTCTTGCACAACAATTGAGGAATAAATGTCCAGCGCTTCTGGTTTTAAACTTACCTTGTCTCATCTCTCAGTGTCACTGCTTTTCCATCTGGGAACTTCCTGTGATATAACCTAAAACTACTTAAAGTTCTGCATTTTAGCTGCTGGCTACTTATATGCGTTTCAAGGATGCTTGCAGAAAAGGTTTGACTGTTAACAATTGTGGGGAAAGGGGTTAGAATTGATGCTCTGAGTAAAATTACCCTAAGTTCTCAGTATCATGAGCAGGTGGGAATTTATCGGTTTTGGGCTGGCTTTAACTATATTATTGACTGAAAGCCTATTCTTTATTTGACTCTCATCTTAGCAGCCAGCTTATTACCATTCTTAGGTCATGATGGGAATATTTTCATAAGTATGTTCTTAAGTATTTTTAAGTGCTAAATAAAAGCCATTACCCTGGTGCACAGGTGCCAGATGAAAGGTTTTGGATAGTCTCAGGCAACATTAAGTCCTTAGGTGCAGTTTGGTCTTGCCCATTTGAGTAGGAAGCATGTTCAGTCCAGCATGTGTCCATGTGCCTTGCCCAGAACAAAGGCACAGTGAGAGAGTCTACCTTTCTCCACTCACAAAATATGTGCCACTAAGGGCGGTTCTCACCTGAGATCACATTGCTCTTTTACAAGAGTCTCTGACTTTGTCACAAGTCTGCAACAACCTTGACTGTCTTGGCAAGGGTGTGGTTGAAAGAGACTTATGCAGTCTGTGGATTTCTTTTTGTTTACTTCTTAATAAGAATACTTTGTCAAGTTATAGTTGTAGCACTCTCTAAATCATTTCAGATGCTTGCATCCAGCTACTGGCCAATGTTCATAGAGAGTATTATACTGTCAGTTTCTACACGTGGGTTAGTAGGAAGACTTGGGAGGAGGGCTGCAGGGGTGACAAGGGGCCAGGAAGGTCTGCAGAGAGCAGGAGAATGTGATCAGAAAGAGAGAGGAACTTCTTGTCAGCACTGATCTGACAGTACAGCTATTCCATTTTCCATTTCTATCTGTTCCAGTCTTCATTCTCTCTCACTCCTTTTGGCCTCAGCAAGTTATTCAGAGCCCTAGGTAGGCTGTCAGGAAAGTGGATTATTTCTAAATTACTGTTGGAATGCCTATAAAACTATCCCTTGTCGGCAATTAAGATGAAATTCTTGCTTAGTCTCAGTGTGCTCTGCATGGCACCCCTTAATACACTCAGTGGTGAGGTTTTAATAGAACTTTCTTCCCTTCCTGTGTGTTCTGAATTGTGACCATATCTTTCCTTACTTTCAAATTAGGAATAAGCATCTTTATATCCCTACGACAAATTCTCCCCCGTGTTCTGAATCCATCTCCTTTTGAGTCATCTTTTACCCATTGTGAAACACTCATTTGAAGTGGTGGGTTATTTTGGAGGATGTGATGTTATGCAGGAGAAAACAGGTTTTTCACATGCAATTACCTGAAGGTCGCAACTCTTGGTCTGTGTATCCATGTACAGCTAAGAAGGAAACATAGACTTCCTTGGGGGC